CACAATATATCGAACATTTGACTGGCAGTGTACGTTTAATACTTTAAGTTTAATACTGTGAAATATACCCGGGTTAACAATAACTTCTCCATGGTACCGGACCCTCCAGAAATGTTACCTAGTGCACCTTTAAGTCTTGTGTAACAAACGTGTGCTTCTTTTGATACAGTTGAGAAATATGATCAAAGTCTTCGGCGCACCTCCTGATCACGTGCTCAGTCAGGGGCTCACGACTCAGACATTCTTCCACCGGGTCGGCAACAGATGGGTCCTCAAAGTAAACATTTCTTCTAGTTAGATTCATTCTTTTATGTCACAAATGTAAAAATTATAAACTTCTCAATTGCTGTTTTCAGACTTGTGAAGAGATGGAGGATTTTTACAAACAGGAGTGTAAGACCCACTTCACAGAGAGCTTCAGCTCCCTCCACCATCTGCTCCAGGTAAACACTGTCTTTGACCGAAACAACGATTTCATATATATGTGTGTGTGTGTGTGTGTGTGTGTATATACACACACACACACACACACACACACACATATATATATACCGATACACACCGATATGTGTGTATTTATACGTGAGAAGGCAGATTCGAGGTCCTGTATTATATTTTAAGACATGTTAGAATGTTATTTCCTCCTCAAAAACATCCCTGAAGTTGTGTTTTCTTTTATTTATACGTGTCCAAATGTCCTCAAAATGCTCTGTTCCACATTGTGATGTCATAAAGTGGTAGTTTTCAAGTTGAGTTCAGTACAGACGGGCAATTCCAGGGCTGAAATCATCCAAATAATTCTAGTGAAGGTGTATAGGGTTTAAAAACACACATCGTAAATTTACAAAGCGTTAAAATGTGTGTTAAAATGAATGAAAGAAGAAAAAAACTGTGACACAAAACACAACTCCAGGTTTGTTTTTGATGAGGAAACAACATTATAACATCAGAAAATTTTGTAATATGGGCCTTTGAACATATGATTCACTCCCAAATCTGTAGCTGAATCACACCACAAATTCTCTTTGGTTATGGTCCATATAAATCTTCATAACTCCAATAAAATATTTAGTCAACTAATGTAAACACTGTAAATACTGATGTGTTCCTGATTTGTTTGTAGGAATATTATTCTCCCAGATCTCGCCTGAATCTCGCCCAGGACATCGAGAGAGCCACAGACCTGCTCGCTCAGATGTTGAAGATGGAAGTGTCTGCTCGGATAACTCCCTCACAAATCCTCCAACATCCATTCATAAGCCCTAAATTGTTTGTTTTTAGATCACCACTGTTAGGTTTATCTAGACATTCAAAACAAGAAGAAAGACAAGAGATTAATTCAGTTTTTCTCATGAGGAGAACGGGCAGAGAGTGCGCATCAAAACCAACAGTCTCCACACGTTCTGATGACTCAAGGCCGCTCTCCTCCTTTTATTTCATTAGGAGGCCCTAGTTACAGACACATGATTCTCAAAGGGAAGGGGGATCAGCAAAGACATAATAAGAAACTGATGCAGGTTCAAACACATGATTAACAATCAGGAGGTGCCGTAGGTATAGACAAACACCATCATAACTCTTGCATGTGTGACAGTGGGAGTTGGTTTCACGTGAGGGGTCATCTCAAGGTTCACAAGAACGATAGGTCACTGCACACAGGTGTTAAACACAGAGAGGTTATTCATATTCATACAAATGATTGGTACATTCTAAATCAAAGAATTGTAGTACATAAATGGTTAACTCATAGGTCTAGATTAACACACAAGCATTTAGCAAATATGGGATAATAGAATTATTCTGACAACCACTGTTCAAACTTTCTTTTCACTTCTCAAGTTTAAAGTGTACTATGTAACTTTTCTACTTGTCTCCCTGGAGATGTTTTTGCTTTAATTGCACTGCAGAGATCAAATAGTACAGTTTCTCTGTATTGTTAACACAAATTAATGAATAGTGGACAGCGCTCTGAAAGGGGAGTGACTTAGAAGGGACTCGGGGTCAACAATGAAAATGAAAACAATTTGTTTTCACACACAATGAAACAACTGAAAAAAAAGAGTCTATGGCAAAAGTACAGAAGTGTAACTATATTTGTGTGTTTGTTTACAGTCGCGTGAGAAAAGAAGAGCCACAGGAGCAGCCTGACCTGGTCCCACAGACGCCTGTGAGGGAACCTGTGGTCACCGTAGTCAAACCGGCCTCTCCAGAAAACACCATTCCCTTTAAAGAGGAGGAACAACAGACAGACGGGTGAGTACTCATTTTTTAAGGGGTCCATATTACGCTGTTT